AAGAGTTCAGTGAGATATTACTTGTTTTGAAACACAGAAGAAATTTTTTATTGACAAATGTATCCCACTATAGTAGATCTCTTTCAAAGGTTTTTAATATTTTATTCCTTGCAGTTTTTATTTTTTTTTTGAAGTATTAGAAAATTGGTGTGGTTCTTTATATACTGTGAGCAAAATTACTTCCTATGTGAGCCCACTGAAGCCGATGGAGTTGCACCAAAATTAGATGGGAAAACGTTAATGTAGTTATGTTAACAGATACTGTTAATTACAGTAGAGAAGAATGAAGAGACGGGAAGATAGTGGAAAATATAGGGGAACTGAAACAGAGAAATTAAAAGTATAGGGGAGTTCCTACATAGTGAGAGAGAGCTGCTGCAGGGGCCTTTTGTTTGGTCCATCCTGTAGGCTGATAGGACCCTGTCATTGCCCTTGAGTTTTTGTATGCTACTGAGTCTCCTGGAGATGTTCTGAGTTAGGTGTTTGGAGAGGGGAAATACCTATAGTGTTAGAATCTTGTGGCCTGTCTTCCTTGCAGTGCCGGATTGCTGGCTGCTGCATTGTTCTGTTTGGTCGACTGGGTGGTAGAAGTAAGGATTTTTAGCAAACACACGAACATAAAACAAGTTTTACTGGGTGAAGTAAGGGCCAGCTTGTCTGAAAACAATTATTGCTGCCTTCAGGTGGAATAACCCAATACTAGAACTTTTAACCAGATGTGAAAATACTGGAAGGATTAATATAGATATCGGGATGCACTTGTGTATTATTGCCTTCAATAGTAAAAAACCAAAACTCTCCCTACCTGCTTTGTCTTATATTCAGTATACTAAAATGAGCTAATGTCACGAGTAATATTGTTAATGTAGTTCCTGTTTTTTTTTTTTTTTAGTTTTCGTTTTAAGGGTATTTCTTTAAAAAATTTTCTATTTTTCTTTAGCCTTTGGAAAAATGACATCTCAGTGTGAGCAAACATGAATGAAAATTCCATCTTCACTCAGTCCACTGCTGTACAAATCAGAGGATTTCCCTTTCCTTTCTTGTTTTATTTTTGAAACTTCCTTATTTCAGGTTTGCTATTCAGCTCAGTTTGGTGATGCTGCAGGCCACAGAAAAATACATTCACTACTGAAAACATGCTTGAAATTTCTTGCTTGTAGTAAAAGAAAGAAAACGTACGTGTTTCCACATCCCTCTAGGTAGTTGTGGGAAGAATACAAAGCTGGCATGGTGGTGGTGTGGGCTTCTGTTTCTGTGAGGAAAGAGAATGCTGTGAGACTGTGTGATATTTATGACGGATGTTATCAACTTACTTTGGCGGAAGATTTTTCTAAGTACCGGATAGTAGCTATCAGTTTCACCGCATGCCAAATCTCTATTTAGACACTGAAAACTACTCCGTGGAGGCCAATACCAGTGAACAGGAAGGAATGGGTGCATGGGATGCTGAGAGTTTGGTTCATGAGCAAATAGCAGGCATGGTGGCGGGAGGCTGAACTCTTAAAGTGGACATACACAAGTCTGCGGACCCTGACAGGATGCACCCATGAGTGCGAGGGGAGCTCGCCAGTGTCCTTGCAAGGCCACTCTCAATTATCTTTGAAAGGTCATGGCAATCAAGGGAGGTGCCTGAGGACTGAGAGAAAGGAATTATCACCCCTATCTTCAAGAAGGGGAAGCAGGAGGATCCAGGGAACTAGAGGCCATTCAGCGTCACCTTGATCCCGGGGAATGTGCTGGAGCAACTAATCCTGCATACTATTTTCAAACATGTGAAGGACAGGAAGGTGACTGGGAGTAGTCAGCATGGATTTGCAAAGGGGAAGTTGTGCTTGACCAACCTGGTAGCCTTCTGTGATGAGATAACAGGCTTTGGTGGGTGAGGATCCCCTTCAGAGCCGTGAATGTTTACCTTGACTTCAGTAAGGTATCTTTTGACACTGTCTCCCCAAACCTCCTCATAGAGACGCTGATGATGTATGGGCTAGGTTAGCGGTCAGTGGGATGGATTGAACACCAGAGGGTTGTGCTGCCATTCAGAGGGACCTCGACTGGCTGGAGAAATGGGCAGAGAGGAACCTCAGGAAGCTCAACACAGGGAAGTGTGCCAAGTCCTGCACCTGGGCAGCAATTACCCCAGGCACCAGTACAGGCTGGAGGACGACCAGCTGGAGACCAGCTTTGCAGACAAGGACCTGGGGGACAGGTAGCTGAACATGAGCCAATGATGTGCCCTTGGGCAAAGAGCAGCAATGGTACCCTGGGGTGCATTAGGCAGTTTTGCCAGCAGGTCGAGGGAGGTGATCCTTCCCCTCTGCTCAGCCCTGGAGAGGCCACACCTGGAGTGCTGGGTCCAGTTCTGGGCTCCCCAGTACAAGAAAGAGACGGCCCTCCTGCAGTGAGTCTAGCAAAGAGCCACAGAGGTGATGAAGGGGCTGGAGCATCTCTCTTGTGAGGAGAGGCAGAGAGAGCTGGGACTGTTTAACTTGGAGAGGTGAAGGCTCAGGTGGGATCTTATTAGTGTTTATAAATATCTGATGGGAGAAGGTGTAAAGAGGCTGGGGCAAGACTCTTCTCAGTGGTGTGCCATGTGCCAGGACAAGAGGCAAAGGGTACAAACTGGAACACAGGAAATTCCAGCTGAACATAAGAAACCACTTCTTCGCTGCCAGGGTTGATGGAACACTGGAACAGGTTGCCCAGAGAGGTTGTGGCATCTGCATTCTTGGAGAGATTCAAAACCCAACTGGACACGGTCCAAGGCAGCCTGCTCTAGCTTGACCCTGCTCGCACAGGTGGGTTGGAGTACATGATCTCCAGAGGTACCTGCCAAGCCCAGCTATTCTGTGATTCTGAGATAAGCCGAAGCAGAGCGAATTGGCCCTAGGGAAGGGTAGCAAATGGAACAGAAAGTGGGGAATGCCCTCGTGGCAGGAGCTGGGCTGAGTAGCTGCCTGCATCAGGGAGGGGAGGTGTGGATCCTGAGGGCAGAGGCCACTCACGGAGCAACAGGGACCATTTAGATGGCAGGGAAGTTGAATTCAATTTTAGCTGGAACCAGACCGTCGTCTGCTGTTCTGCTGGGGATCTTGGAACAGGTCCTTACGCACCCTTCTGGCAGCTTCCGACTGGTTGAGAAGTGACAGAAATGAAGCTTTTAATGTGAAAGAAATAAAAAATCTGCTTAACTGTACTCAGAACTTTCCTGCCAGGGACATTCTTCATTAAACACACATGGTGGGATTTTTCAGAAGAGCTTGGCACAGCCTTTGCTCTGCTCCCACTGGAATCTGTGGAAGTGCCACAGGTTTTGGTGGGAGCAGGGCTAAATCAATATGGAATGCTTTGGAAAATCCAGCCCAGAATGGATCCTGGCAGCGTAACCAGATAGGGATTGGAGGTGATGCTGAAATTGTCACGTAGAAATTTTCCATGCTGGCTAGCAGTATCCTCTCCTTTCCCTCAGTTCAGAGCTGATGGAAAGCAGTGTATAGTGAAGCATAACTTGAAGGGAAGGGAAAGTCAACATAGAAAGAAAGAAGAATATTCAAATTTTCTCCCCCCTCCCCGTATTTTGTCAGGGCAAAAGCTTTACTGAAGAGCTTCCCTTCTACCTGACGTTGCCACTTAACTCTCCAAGAGTTGATTGTAGGCAAGCAACAGTGCACAGCGGGTGTGTGATTCGGGTGCTCTCTGGATGGGATACGGCTAGAGACTTAACAGTGTGTGCCAGTGTGCTGAGAGAGGCTGAATGGATGTGCATTCTGTTTCCTTCAGAGCAAAAGGCACACTCCTGGCACCCATTCATGTGTGGGAGAGGAGGGGAAAGGGGGCCACATCCCCTCTGTCAGGTTCCCTCCCTGATCTAAAGACGGGGAGCACAGGCCACTGTGTCAGGTCAATCTCCTGTCATAGAAAAATTTAGCTCAGAAGAGAACTCTGGGGGGGCTGCTTAAGACAGGGTGAACTTCAAAGTTGGATCACGTTGCTCAGCTGCTGAGGTACCTTCCCAGGCTGGCAGCTTGAGAGGGGGAAAAGCAGGACAATCACAGGTCCAAGACCCTGTTTTGGGACAAACTAGCGGACTGAAGGCTTCCACGAAACTTGCTATTTTCTGGGAGTCTCTGAGCCAAAACGCATATTTGTTCGTTCAGTGGTCTTGATGGAGATCTGACATGGCTGGCCTTCCTGGATTTCTCTGGTTTACATCATTCTTTCCCCACCAGATGATAGTAAAATCACTTCTGAGGACAGGTCTTCACAAGATAATCCGGTTTCAACCAATGTTTTCTTTTTGGCACACAGGCTGTCAAACATAAAGGTGAGGGAATTTCAAGATGTTTCACAGCTTGATGTGCAAGCGCAGGCTGTGCCAGATGTGAAGTTGTTGCCCTAGGAGGACCTAAAGTTTTCTGAATCTTCTACTGTAAGGCTGTTCCTGCAGGGAAATGCAGTGACGGTAGCCCAGTTCTTGGCGTTTTCCACAGGAGTACTGTTACTCTCTCACAAGCTGTCGTTGTTGCTTACTGGGAAGTCTTCAGCAAAGGACTGATTTGCTCACTCTTTTTTTTTTTAATCTATATTTTATTGTGCGGGCTGCTCTTTTGGATACATCACTTAGCTTCCCTAGGTAAAATAACTTCAGATCTTCTGGTAGAAAAAGCTATATAAATACTAAATAATTATCTCACTTTTACTAAATAATTATCTCAAAAGTGAGCAGTAGCCTCTGTGTCATGCAGCAATCCACCTTTTTTTTTTTTTTTTAATTGCTTCTTAATTGCTCCCTTGGCCTGCTTGGTGTTAGCAGAGGCCCCAGTGCATACAAGCTTCTCTTCAAAGTGGGTGGCATTAATAAAGAACAATACCATAGTCTCTTCTAGAGGCAGCGGTGGGATTTTTAAGGTCACTGCGTGCTTTAAAGGAACGCACTGTGGTTCAGTTGCTAGCCAGATCTGTCCCATGGCACGCTTTAACGGTCTCTCACCTTTCCTTTTCAGAAGTTAGGGAAGAGTGCCAGGGCCATCTGGACATCACTCAGGGGGCAGTGAGGACCCCAGAACTGGGATTCAACCCCCATCACCATTGCAAAGGTAGGATCACCATGCGCTAATAGGTCATGACGACCACTTTGGAGCCCTTAGCACTTTAGGACTTCTTTTAGTCAGGAATTTATGTGAATATGTTGGTTGTCACTGAGTAGCTGAGTATTTGTAACAACTATCAATTTTGTCTCTTGATTTCAAATGATATGTTCTGCTGTGATGGTGTTTTTCCCAAGAAATGTTAGTGCTCAGTTTGAATACTGTTTTAACACTGGCTCATTTTTCACTGAACAGTATCCCAACGTTAAAGTCTTTCTAACTGAAACTTCAGTGTGTCACTTGAGTTCTGTAGTATCTTTGTTCTCAGTAACACAGTAGTATTATAATGGGACTAAGACTTTGGTTCCAACATGTTGGCCATCTTATAAGACCATTTCTGTAGCAAGGAAATGGCTGGCTGAAAAAGGACTAATATTTTTTTTAAGGGTCCATCCGGGTATAAAAAAAAAATATTGGTGCCGTTTGGCGTAAATTGTAATCAGCTCCAGACTCAGCCACACTCAGAAACTTGAATCATGGACTCACTCATGCTTGGTGAGTTCTGTGTTTTTAGGGTTCCCACCTAAACCACAACCCTTGTAACAAATACAAGGCTACATCTGTGGTGTCCAATCCCATGCCTTAATGGTGTTGAGAAAATGTTTAACTGTGAATTGAAATCATATTCTTGAGCCCTGCAGCTTTTCAGGTGAAGTGACTGAACTAGCTTTGCTCTGCTGGAATGAAGTAGGTGGGCTCTGGGGGGCTTAGTTCAGATGAGCTAAATATTTCACTTAATGCCTTGGGCTGTGGTTCCTTTGTCAAGGCATTTCTGAAGGCCTGGAACCAGTCACTGGGAAATGCTAAGCACAGGAATGGACATGACGTTTGGGCTGGTCCGTACGCAGCCAGGTGTGGGTGGGGGGGGTGTTTGTGTGTGTGTGTATATATATGTGTGTGTGTGTGTGTATATATATGTGTGTGTGTGTGTATATATATATGTGTGTGTGTGTGTGTATGTTAAGGGATGTTAGAGGTAAGAAGAGGCACAAGGGAAAGGCAGAAGCATGCGTGAATTGTGTTATGTGGTTGCATAGTGTCTATAAGACAATGGTGAGGCTGTGATGAAGCAGTGGCTCTTGGGCTAATGGGTTCAAGCTTCACAGAGACCTCAGGTCAACTACTGCCCCCTCACCGATTCAGGCAGGGGAGGTGAGGGTGGTTTGGTGCAGCACAACATCTGCTGTGAATTGCTGGTAGCAGCAAATTATCGTCTAAGAGGCCCTGTAGGCTTGGGTTGGCTGGTTTGTTTGTTTGCGTTTTTGTCCTTCTTTTAAAAAAATGTGGTTTTCTGTGGAAACAGTCTGTGACGATGCTGTCAGTCAGTCTGACGCTACTAGTAGCTTTTGACCCCATGACCAGTGTTTCAGCCATGTGCATAAGGCAGCTAAGCAGCAGCCTGAAAGGCCAGGAGGATTTGTGTTCTGTGACAGCTGATGACTAGCTAAAGAAGTGTGACCCAAGCTACCCTCCCTGCTGAGCGAATGGCTGATGCTGTGTTTGGTAGCAGCTGCGTAGCAGTCAAAGTGAGGGAGGGAGGGGGGAGAGAGAGAGCGAGCGAGCACGCGTGTGCATGTGCGTGTGTGTGCTTGTCCGTCTAGCCATCCGTCCCTGTGCTGGCACCCACAGCAGCAGCCTACCTGCAGCAGGTGCTGGCTATGAATGTGGAGAGCAGCACTGATGCCAAGAGATGGCTCTGGAGTTACTCTGATGAGGGCGCCGATTCATAGGGAAAAGCTATAGGAAAGCAGGCATTATTTTAGTTCTGTTGCTCACAGAACAGCTTGTTTTGGTTTGGTTTTGTCTGTTTGTTTGTTTGTCTGAAAAAAACAAAAAAGTAGGTCAGCATGTATATTGTCTGAGAATGATTAAACTCCCAGGGTATTTTAAATATGCTTTTTAAAAAAAGAACTAAATCAGCAAGGAGCCAATCTTGTGGCTCAAAATTACATGTTCAGTACAGTGTTTGTCCCCAAGGAGAGGTCCTTTAAGGGTACTGAAGTTTGATCGTCATTTCCTCAGCTTTCCTGCTGGTATACTCCCAGGAGCGGTGGAGACCCATGCTGCCCTGCACTGTGCCCTATTCCTTAGTTTCCTGTTTTGTCTGTGCTGTCCAGGAGCTCTTAGTCTATGCCTAAGATGGGGCTTATGCAGCTTTTGCTTTTGTGCATCTTCTCCTAAGGAAATACCTTTTCTGTCTTTCCAACTAGACTTGCGTCAGCATGGTTGACAACGACAGTTCAGTAAAACGCTAAGAGATGTAGTCTGTCCTCCTCTCAGCAGGCTTACCCATGGGCGCTTCACTGACCTTGCTGCCTGTGACCTCTCCCCAGAGCAGCTGGGTACCTTCACCAGGCTGCTCCTCCTAGCCTGGAGGGATAGGAAGCCTGCATTCCCAGAGCGTGGAGCATAACTGCAAATCAGGGTGGGTAGGAAAGGGAGCTGCTGTAGCCAAGTGGGCTATGATGGGAGGTCATTCAGTGGGAGTGATGCTTATACTCCCGTGCCTGTGGCTTTACTAGCAAAAGGTTACAACTGTGACTGTGGTTTTTGTTAAGACTGTAGAAGGATTAACCTTAAGCAGAATGACTAAGAGCACTTTAGTTAACAAATTCCCTAGTAAGACCTTCCTTCTTTATTTCCTCCTCAACCATAGCAGGTAAGCAAGAATTAACTTTTTTTTTTTTTTAAATTATTATTATTATTATTGTTATAGACCAGCTGTTGTGGTTGTACTCTATTTCTTTCAACTGGGAAGAGAGAGAGACTTGTTCTTCCTCCACCTCTCCTCTGCTTAATGCTAGAAAATTTGAAGGTCTCACATACTTTGCAAAAAGTCTCGTCCTTAAAGACCCCACCCCCTTCCCCCGGTTTTCTTCAGGAATTTTCTTGTATTTTAACATACAATCAGTTCTTGAATATGCAGTATCCTTCACTAGTCCTTGTGTCAAATTCCAGCAGATGTGGGGGGGCAGAGCCCCGAGATGGGTAGCTGCATTAGCAGCCAGACTGTAGAGGCAAGCATGGTGCTGAGCTCTTCCATGCATGAACAGGCACGTGGACTTTAATGAGACCTACCTAGCGCTCAGTACTTAAAGGACTACAACTTAGGAATTTTTTTGTTCAGTGATTGACCTAAAATATTGGAAAATAAATTTGATTCAGGACCAAAACAAGTATTTCTTTTGTTGGTGAAATGAGAAGTAAAAATTCAATTTTAGGACAGTTGGACCCACTTTCTTGAGTTTAGTTTTATCCTTTTCCTTTCAATATAGGGCAGGTCATAGCAAAAATGTTTCATTTGGAAAATATCAAAAGGACACGTTTCAGCGTTTCCAAAGCAAACGATTTCATTCTGGAGAAGGTTGAAGTAAAACATCTATCAGTCGCCTAATCGCTTTCTCTCTCTCTCTTCTACCACTGAAAAATGGAGCTGATGATGGCGACGTACTGTTCATCACGGAAAGACAATTATCCCCCTTTTCTCTAGTATTTCTGAAAACCAGGCCATCTACTGAAGAGCCTGATTTGCAGATTTAGTGGGAAACATGCCTAAACCAGGAAAGAACAAAAATTCCATGGAAGTCAACTTCCAAGTCAAACAGTTTCTGTAGGTCTGTGTTTGAAATCTTCCCTCTGGAAGCCTAACTTCAGGCATCAACTAATTCAAGTCCTGGCCTTATTAAAACAGTATGAGAAGGAAAAACCAGCCAGACAAATCCCTATAACTATTGTAATGGAAATTAATTCTAGTACTATACACACCCTAGGGTTTGATTCTTGTAACATGAACATGAATAAAAGAAATAATAAGCCTACAATTAGTAAATAGCTTTTTTTTTCTAAAAAAGGGTGATTTTATTGAGTTGTAATATACAGCTTTAATATGTTAGGGTAATCATACAAGATCTCTCTTGTGTTCAATTTACACATTACAATACAGACATGAGCTCAAATCTTTTGTTTTAATGTACAAAAGGAATCCAATGTTGTCTACTAGCAGCTTTGAACTTGGCAAGAAGGGTTCTAAAGACTTTAAGTGCAGAAACAACCATACAGAATACAAAATGAATATAAGGACTTTTCGCCAAAGTATATAAACATTTGAAAACAAATGGTGCCTGCTCCACAGGGCAGACAACTAGCAAATTAAAAAAAAAAAGTCACTGACCAATGTTCCAGAGAAGAAGGAGCATTACCCTGTGTAACAATCCTTATAAAATAGCCTAAGAATATCTGTATCAAAGATTTTTGTACTGATAGGAAAAAAAAAAGGTCTGAAGAGAAACAGTAGGCAAGGAACTGAACAATCAAAAAAATGACATAGTAATATAAAATATTTCCATCACTATTTAAATGCCAAATTAATCAAGCAATAGTAAAAACAAAAACCAAAATACCAAAGCTCTTCTGTTTAAAATAACAGCACTGTTACTGCATAATGATTTTTTTCTTATGAACACACTATATACTTGATTGTTTCTTTCATACAGAGAAATGTGTCCGTTTGGTCTGTCACTTCAGTGAAGCTGACATATAATCAGCCCATCATTTCTCACCTTTGACACATTTTAATGCTTTTTTCCCCATATGTTCGCTACTCCGGTGCCTTCTCTTCTCAAGTTAAATACTTTTCTTCCTTTTCTTTATACAGTGCAGAGTATATGGGCTTAGGATATGGAGATTTTCCTCTACTCCAGTTCACTGTCTAGTTCTGAGTTCAGTGGTGTGCAGTAGTTTGGCTTGTCCGAAGGTACGTATCCTGGGAGACACAAACACTTGTACGAACCTTCTGTGTTAATGCATTTGGCGTTCTTGCAGAGAGACATCCTGTTGTTCAGTTCGTTGCACTCGTTCACGTCTGCAAAAAAGGGCACATCAGAAGGCATGTACTTAAGTCTGGTGTGTGTGGGTAAAGGCAATTTATTTCCAGCATTGTCAGGAACAGA